GGGAGCGACTTCCTGCGGTCCACTTTACACGCTTGCCTCTCAGCAATCCCGAGAAACAAGTCTGGTACGTCGACTCGCACTGGCGGCCATGTGTCCGTTTTGTGTTTCCTCGCGCATGGCGCACCCTTGACCGGAATGATTCAGGACCGAAGCTTAGGCTATCATGAAGATGAAGCTGGAATCACGAGTGCACCAATCACAATGTGATGTTATTGGGTACGAGTTGTCCCTCCACCTCTAGTCCGGGACCATCAATCGAAGACTGCTCGTAACAAGAGATTACAGCACCTAGACGAGCTCCGTCCATGCAGTAGTAGCTGGTCGAGCTGCATTGCATAATCCGCTCAGTGGCTCGACTTGATCGGGTCCCAGATCATGCTTAGAATAAGCAGTCCAAGCACTCGGCGCAAGCAATATCCTCGAGGCAGCAGCAAGCGCTATACGGAAGGGCAAATGAATGCATGTGAGCGGGCGTGCCTTGGGTGCGTTCTGCGTACCATAGAGATGTCGGCACTCACCAAGCACCCAGGCAGCAAGCGGCGCTGAAGGTGGATCAGTGTCGACGGGGCGGAAGGGATGAGCAATGCGCTGATGAAGACGCAAATTTGGTGTCTGACTCACCAGGGTCCGCAGCATCCGTGCTGCATTCAAAGTAGCAAAAGCAACGAAGGGATCAAGTCGGATCTTGAATCAGATGCACGCCCTCTTCAAACGCTGCGTGTCCAATCGACTGACCTTGTCTGAAGGCCAGACAAAGTCATGAGAGCACCATAGGTCAGTACAAATATTCGTGGAGAAGAAAAGGAGGGCATCGAAGCCCTTTCCTACTCACCACGTGCGGATGCTTGTTTCTGTTGCAAAGGCGACATGCCTTGACCTCCGTATGCTGCAGAGCTCCAAGAGGTCAGTCAGTGTGAGTCGTCATACCGCCTTTCGAGATCAGACTCCGTTCCGACTGCGTCCAACCTCTTCGGGAAAGAGAACCAGGCGTGGTGCGCACTGAAGGCTTTCGGCGGGGCCCTGCCCTCCCGACTGCGCACTTGAATCGCAGACACCACGGCGCACACGCTTCCCCTCCCGTTTCTCCACATTTCGCCAGGAAAAGTATGTACGCACGCTGCTGCATCATGGGAGGTTGTCCGCCATATCCTCCTGGCTGAGGGTATCCGCCCTGCTGTGGGTATCCCCCTTGTTGAGGGTATCCGGGTCCAGGGCCGTAGCCTGGCTGACCTCCTTGAGGAGGGTAGTAGCCCTGAGGTTGTTGGCCGCCTCCGTAGTACTCTTGAGAAGCCATTTCTTCTGATTCTTGATTGGGGGTCTTGATCAACGGGCTGATAGAGCGATAGATGCTTTCGAGTCGTTTACAACACTTTGACGAAGGAGAGGATGATGGTCGTCTTTAAGCTGCGCAAAAATCGAAGCGTGACGCACAAGTCACCTAAGTCAGCAACGCTCACTGTTGCCAGATGCCGATTCAGCCCAACACTGAGACACGGCAGACTGATGGGCGGATCAATAACCAAGACTTTCACTCAGCCGGTGCCGTCCGCGTGCACAGTATATAGCAGCAGCAGCAGCAGCAGCACCAATATAAGCAAGACGGCTGTGACTCTGCTGATGACTCGATGGCGATCGGAATTGAGATTTGCTGTCGCTTCGCTGCTTCTGGCAGATGTAGGTGATGCATTCAACCTGCAATGGACATCGACGTAGCGCAGAATAAACACCAAAATTTCGATCAAACGTGGAGTAATGTGCGTGTGGAGGCGGACAACTCACACTGGACTTCCATGAGCGGTACAGGAACCTAAGCGGTCCGCCGAGCATCTCGCAGCCTAGCTCTGCTGAGTGCATGCTGCATCCCGGACCTTCGGTCGCCCCGACGCAAGCTGCGTCGATCGACTCATCAATCACCGAGCCTCGACTTGCACTGCTCTCGTCCACGACCATGAAGGTCGGTCGCTCAAATCGCACGTGCCTCGGCATCGGAGTCGTCTCAGTCAGACAGCGCGCGAGTCTTGACGACGACGTCAGCCATCAAGGTAGCCCCCATGCATGTCTCCTTTTTTTTCCTCCAGGAGTCCGCTGCTAGCAAAGCGGGTTTACCCCCGCATCAGGCTTCTCTCTCTAGCTTCACGTCACGAGGACAAGTTTCGCCGATGCGTTCGCTCGTCAAAGTCTCGCATAAGCGATCGAGCAATATCATGGGTGAAAGCCCCTTGTGATGTGTTGAGGCGCAGGTCATGAGGAGATCATCACCAATTCACAACGTGCGATCCACGTCATCGAGTGTCCTCCGGTTGCCAGAGCTTGACGAAAGCGAGCAGTCGGGAGTCCAAGTGTGGATAATCCTTTTACGGTTGTACCGTACATGGTGGCATACGCTTATGTATGCATGACCAGCTGCAAGGATGCCGCCGGTCGGCAAGTCGGAGCTTTAGACCCATCTGGGGGGTTCTGCCGGAGCCGGAGCAGAGCGAATAGATGATATACACTCCTGCGAATGTTCGAGAGCTGTGATCATGATCGAACTCAGTAACGTCCGTGCGCGGAGTTACGCGGATCAAGCTGCACCAAATCACGAATGAACTAAGCTACGAGTGCCTGAGTCCCTAATCTTGAATTGAATCAGGACTTGAATCTGAATCAACATCAAATCATGAACTCATGAATCAGAAATGAGCCTGCAGCGATCACGACATGCGAAAGTAGTTCAGAGTCACGAGTCACTACACTGTGACTGAGTGCAAGTCTTTGCGTACTCGCCAATCAGATCACTAGCACCCTCATGACTCGTGACTCGGCAAACCTTGTGTTATCCTTCACCGGCAAGCCAGTCACCACCATCATATTGACCCTCTCGATCTTGACGCTAACACATCTCTGGCTATATAGTGAGCGCTGCCAACCCTTCATGACTCAATGAGTGCAGCACGTAGGATCATCTTTCCTCCTTCAACTCCCTTCGCTCCGTTCCTCAGCAAGCCTTCGTCTTGCCTTACCAACCTGGCTCCATCACATCTCAAGCGTTCCATCATGACGTCGGCGATCGCAGCTGAACCGAGCGGTATATCGCATGGACCGCGCACACGCTTTACCGAAGTGTCTTCTCGCATCTTCGAAGAGTACAATCGAGGTCCGGATGTCTGGTCCATGTTCAATCCTCTGGTCTTTCCAACTGCCAAGAACTTGGGCCAAGGATTCATGAATTGGCAACCGCCTTCCTTTGTCCTCGAAGAGTTGAAGAAGGATGTGGGTGAGAGGACAGATGTGCATCATTATTCGCACCCCAAGGGTAGGCCTAGACTTAGACAGGCTCTCAGCCAATACCTGAGCAAAAGCCTTAGGGTACCGGACGTCAGCAAAGGCGACGTCTTCGACCAAGGCCAATTGCCGCAACTCAGATCGGAATCGGATAGACTGCTGGACCCGGAGACCCAAGTTCTTGTCACTGCTGGTGCAAACGGGGGCATGTATGCGGCCCTTAATGCGTTCCTCGAGCCAGGTGATGAAGTGATCGTGTTTGAGCCTTTCTTTGATCGTGAGTCGGGTTCGCGCGGCATGCGTGTGCCGGCGCGCCGGCTCTGGCTGTGCCAGAATGAACGCTGGACGGCCATACTGAACTTACATTGGTACATGCGTGTCGGTAATCGCTCAGAGTACATCTGTGAAATCACCTACTGCGGCGGCAAGCCAGTGTACGTGCCATTGATCCCACCATCCAAGCCAGGAGGCGGCAATGCGGGAGCAGACGAATGGAAAGTCGATTGGTCGGCTCTCGATGCCGCACTTGCTTCTGGCAAAGTGAAAGCCATCATCTTCAACACGCCCCACAATCCCATTGGCAAAGTCTTCGAGTTGGAGGAGCTGCAACAGTTGGCACGCCGATGCGTAGAGATGGACCTGCTCGTAGTTTCTGATGAGGTGTACGACTGCCTTACCTTTGATGGCAAGGAACACATTCGTATCGCCGCGCTGGAAGGAATGTGGGATCGCACCGTAACAGTCGGCTCGGCTGGCAAATCTTTCGCTGCTACGGGCTGGAGAATAGGCTGGGTAGCTGGCGCAGAGCACCTCATCAAGCCCACGCTGGTCAGTCACACGAGAATAGTGTTCACTTGCAACTCTGCAGCAAGCGAAGCAGCGGCAGCAGGTCTCGAACACGCCATTCAATCCGACTTTTTCGACCAGCAAAGCAAAGAGTACGAGGCTAGGAGGACAAAGTTGACGAACATGTTGGACAAGCTTGGATTACCGTACACTTTGCCTCATGGCGCCTACTTTATCATGGCGGACATGAGCCGCCTGCAGATTCCGGAGGGGTTCGAGTTCCCCAAGGACGTGGCTTCGAAAGCAAAGGATTTCCAGCTCGCTTGGTTCGTTGCCAAGATCGCTGACGTGGTGACGTGAGTCTTGCGATGGTAGAGCTGCATCGCCAGAAGCCGATGTTGGCCAAGATCTGCAGCGAAAGATTCGCGCTCTGCGAACCGCAGCGAGGGAGAAGCGAGGCAAGGACTGAGCTGAGTTGATCTGCCCGTCTTGACAGAATTCCGACCACCGCTTTCGTTTCGGATGAACACTGGCACTTGTACGAGAACTTTCTTCGCTTTGCCTTCTGCAAAGACGGAGGCGAGATCGAGGAGGCTGCCGTCAGGCTCGAAAAAGTAAGTTTCTGTACCAACTTATGTTTAATGACCGAAGCGCAATCGTTCCTGCAGTGTTTCAATGGCTCGGCGTTGAGATTCACAGCTGACGACTGACGTTGTTTGTCCGCCGCAGCTGAGGCCTTATCTCAAGAAGTAAAGATCTCGGCAAGCATGTCAAAATGATATAGATGGCACCCTCCGGTCGACCTTTGTCCTGGGCTCGCATAAACGGTGTTGCCCTCCATCGACGACGCTACGGCATTGCAAAAGACACGCGCAAAAGGTTGGGTAGATGGTAGTCCAGTAGACGAGAAGGATGAGTCGCTTTAGTGCAGCAGCAGGCCCTCAAGCATCTCATGTAAGCCTAGCACCGAGCTTCTGCGCTCTTGATTCTTTCAGCGCCGCCATTCTCTGTGAAGGAAAGAATTGCAATCAGGCAAATTTCGGGAAAGAGCTGCCGATCGCCCATTCCTGCGATCGGAGTCGTTTGCTAATTCGAAGGAAAACGGAATGACTCACCGCTCTTCTCTCCTGCCGTTGTCTCTCCATTTCCGCTCGCTTTTCGTCTTTACTGAGCGGAGCCGCTTGGGCTTGCTCGCCTGGATTCTGATTCGTCTGATCACCAGGCGTCTCGTTCGGCGCGTCATCGATACCTCCCCAACTATCTTCTGCTGGTTCATTGGTCTCGTTAGCGCTCTTTGGGTCGAGCGCACCGGGCAGGGGAGCGGAAAAGGCCGCAGCCGCAGCTGCAGTCGCTGCGTTTGTCGATGGGGTAGAAGCGCCCGAGGCCAGACTGGCTGTGGAGGAAGTCAAGTTGGTCTTGGAGCCGGAAGCCCCATCGGTGCTTGGCAGCACTGCTTGACTTGGGGTGCTGTCCGCCGGATCGCCCCACGCGTCCTCATCCTCGACTGGTTTCGCGACACAAACGAGATCAGCGATAGACTTAGCGCACATGGCGACGTTGGCGCCTGGCACTCACATGCGTCCTTGACAGTCAGACTTGTCTTTAGTGCCGAAGTTGCGCTAGGAGCGGGCCGAACAGTACCTAATCTGCTCCCAATCGTAGTCGCACTAGCAGAAGCCTTGGGTCTGCCTCGTTGCGGCCCCAACTTTCTCCTCGGCACTTCCGTAGGCTTTTTGACGCCAACTTCGAAGCTGGACCAATCTCCGGCGTCATCATTCACGTCGATCAGATCCTCTCCCGCTCCCCAACCAACAGCTGCAGCAGCGTCTGCTTGATCGTCCCCGACGGGTGCGAAAGTGGAAGAGGACGTTGTGCCATACGAAGAGCCAGAGTAGGATCTTTGCGCTTGTGCTTTGGCTGCATTCGTGCCTACCGGGGGCTGCTTGGAGTGGGCAGTGTCGAAGCCGAGCTTGGAGCTGCTCGACGCGACGGCTGATAGGGCGGGCGAGGCACCACGCGGTGGAGGGAGCTGATTATCCATCGAAGTCGCGTTCAATCCGCTCGGGTCGATCTGTTTGGCGAACGCAGACATGGTCCAGCCAGCAAGCGCAGACGCGGCGCCTCCTGCCGTTGAGGCGAAGCCTTCGGGAGGCTTGGCAAACGGCATCGGAGAGGTCGAGGCGCTCGAGGCGGAGCTGTTTCCAGCCCCAAAGCCTACCTCGTCGTTGGCAGGAGGCAGAACGGTGTCGGGCATCGAGGCAACTTCTGCCTCGATGCGCTTAAGAAACATGTTCACACCTTGCTTGGCCTGATCTCGCACCACTTTTTCTTGGTCGACTAAACACGGCGCAATCGCTGGCACTATCAGACGAGCCATGTCGTCTCTCTCATAGCTTTCTCCGGTAGCCATCAAAGCCATGAGACCAGCCATCCTGGCGTGCAAGAAGGGGTCCTTGAGACTCCTTGAAAACGCAGGCACGAGCACCTTTCGCCGCGTGTTGAGGGACAAACTAGGTGAAAGTCTGCCCAAAAGAATGGTGGTGTTGGTCCTGATGCCGGCTTCGGGATCTACCTGAGTCTTTGCCAGCTGCCTTAGCAGGTCATTGTTGAGGATTCGCTCGCTGAGCTTCGGAGCCAAAGGTAAGATCGCCTTCACCGTTGCCTCCCTAATAGCAGCTGCAGAGTCCGAGAAGCCTGTGATGAGGTTAGGCCACACCCCATCGACAATTCTCTTCGGTTCCAGTCTCTCTGAGTACAGCTCCAAGTTCTCCAAAAGAGCCATGCGCACGCCTCGATCAGGACTTTTGTAAGCTGCCAGAATGGGAGCTGTCAGGCTATTGTTCCACTCTACATCCGTGAGCGCTGAGCCTAGCTGCAGCACGAGCGGTAGAATCTTGGTAGCTTGAATCGTCGATGACCCCGCATGTTGCCCACTGGACGCCAAAGAAAGGGCATGAACAAGAGCTGGCAGAACTTTGTACTGAGTGAACTCTGGCGGAAAAGAGTCGGAGTGTGATTTCAGTTGCCTGCGACAGGGGGTGGATTAGGAGAGGGGGGCAAGACACAGCGTGAGCGGAGACAAGGTGACTGTAAAGTTAGCACAAAGCTGCTACTACGTCTCACCTCATCACCTCTGCTCGCTCTTCTTCTCTCGCGAGCACGAAGCCATCTAAGCCAATAGCGACCTTGACCAGTCTATTCTCAGCAAAGAATCCTCCTGGAGTTTCTCCGGCAGCAAGGAGTTGTCCAGAGGTACCTCTGGCTTTAGCATTGGGGACCATCATACGCTTCACTAGGGTGTACATCTGAGGCGGCACTCTTCCTGCTGGCGGTACGGAAGAGCCGGTGATTGGGGGTAAAGACCCATTATATGCTTCCAGAATAAGAAGCGCGAAGGAGTAAGAGTCCAGCGCGTGCGTCTCAAGTCTGCGAGAGAATTGCATACTATGCATCAGCATACCTTCAGGCGTCACACTAATATGCCCAATGATTGGGTGACCTGAGGTGCTCACTCTCGTAAAGGACCCCAGCCTCCTTGCTTGACCTCAGGAGGAGCAAAACGCGACGCATCAGGTAGCAGTCCACCGTAGTTCTGTTCGAAGGGTGTGACGTTGAGCGCGGCACTGACAGACAGGCAACCGAAAATGGGAGTGACACCGAGCCAAGCGAAAGATGCGAGGATCAGACACTCACGTACAACACGGCGCCCTCATCCTTTACCGAGCTCAGAACTTCGAACCCGCCTAGCCTCCATTCTCCAGATGCCGAAAGAAAGATAGAGTCTAGACGGACATTGCCGTGCGTAGAGCCTGCTGATTCGTTGATGAATTGCAGAGCGGTCTGGAGAGGACACCAACGAGATGCCGCGTGTCGGCGTGCGAGGTGTTGGTTCCAGAGCGAGATGCACGAACAATTAGAACGAGATGCGAGCCAGATGCGGGCGCGCGAGAGACAAAGGTGCGCTCACACCATGAAAGTCTACACTCACCGCGACGCTCCTAATCCCCCAGCCGATCCACTCTTCTCGGCCCTTTGCTCTATTCCTCTGGTCTTCTATGGCTTTGCCCAAAGGCCTGACCTTCTCCACCGCGATATACACTGCTTTTTCGTTCTCAAAGCTGTCGATAAACTTGAGCACATCAGGATGCCTCATCGTTCTGAACTTCCTGCAAGCATTTTTAGCAAGTGGTAGCAGATTTCTTCGAGGATTGTGAGCAGGCAAGGTGGAGTCGAAGATGAGGATGGAGCACGAAGAATTGTCCTCTCGTTTTGTGCCGCTATGAAGTGACCAGATTGTGCGTGCTTCTAGGTACGGTTCCCTCTCCCCTATTGTGAAGCCTGGAAATGGTCCGCCAGCCTGAGAAAGGACAGCAGAGGCCGCCCGCTTGAAGTAGTCCATGCTCGGCTTGGTCGGCAGCCTTGCAGGCCAAACCACTCCTCCGCACGCACTGAGCTTCGTCGTTGGTCCTAGCTTAGCCCCTCGCAAGCTCGCAATGTGGCTCGAAGCAGCTCACGTGGAAGATCGTCGAGGATCGGTTGACTCCTGCACTTGGTGAATGGCGGGATCAGGAGTGTGAGCGCGCGCAACGCTTGCGGGATAAATATTTGAGTGCACGCCGTGATTCTTCTGACCTTTCACCAAATTCACGCTTCACTGGTGACTTTTGACTTGTTGCCCCGCCCTTCCCTGTCGCAGCGCGTCTCATGCCTCCTCCGCTCGCGCACGGCTGGTCGATCGCGTTTGTAGCCAGCGACATGGCCCTGCTAGCTACAGGCGCTAAGAAGACCTTCGACGAGCCATCACGTGATCAAATGAGGATTGATGTTGCTCTCGTTTGTTCGAACACTTGGCTCGGTACTACTCGCGACTCATGTCTACTTCTAGGGAATCAGTCTTGAGTCAACTGCTTTAGCAAATCAGACACTCTGACACCGACATCGCTACATCAATCGCATGCCGTGGCGCAGACTATCAGGGTTGAGGTTTTGATTATCATACAAATACATAGAGGCTGCAGCAAGCAGCGGCCCCACAGGATCTGTCCATCCTAGAAGAGCGTATCTTCATCTCGAAGATATTCACCAGAATCGCTGATTGCAGTGGCAACCATAAGCGAGCGTGTCAGCGCCCATCTGTAAGGGAGAGGAGCCAGCGCGTGGAAGCTGCGCCGGCAGAGCGAAACTTACGATTGGTGGAAAACGATGATACTGGTAGGATCCATCTTGCGCGTGTCGAGCGTCGATCTGGCCGTCACTCCAAAGCCCTGAGTGGGGATGAGATGAAAGCGGATCAGTCTTGGTTCCTACGCCAGGCGAAGATGCATACAGCCGACTTTCGCATCTTGTTGCGCACAAAACACTCACCAACGCCATCCCGCTCATGCTCAGCACTACAACTCCTGCATGCTCGGGTGTATCATCCGTGATTCTACCCAAGTGCGCCTTGACCACATGATTTCCGTAAAGGAACGGCAGCTCTCCGTTCGGTTTGATCCACACCTGCAACATCCCAACCATGTGAACGCATGTGAGCCACTATTAGTCCTCCGCCAGAACCTCGCACATGGAAAGCTCACCTTGTACTTGGCGTACTGAGTGAGATGATCCAGAGCGGTGATATGCAGTCTGAACTTGCCAGTCTTGCTGAACTTGCCAAAGCAAGTGCCTAGAGATATCAAATTGGGTCTAGCGATAGAGGTAGCCGCTTTCATGCAAGCCTGTCCGTCGCAATAAGTAGCGCAAAGTGATGAATCCCATGTAAGGGTTTCGGACGAGAGCGCTCGACATCACTTGACCCAGTGTTCTTTCCAGCTGAACTTCTCCTCCCTTCGATCAGATCCCCACCACGCAGGCTTGCAAGGCTTCGGCTGTGTTCTCCATCGATTGGAACTCGCCCAACTCACCTCGCTAGCGTAATACACCCTATCCCTGTGCAACCTGAATACATGCGGGTCATCAGGCTTATCCACCAAGTGAACGATGTTGGATCCGATGTAGTGCGAAAGCTTGGTGAAGAGCGTTTTCGTCTCTGTGTCTGTGAGCGGCCTCATCCTTGCTGGGCTAGATTGTGGCCTGCGTCTCGGTAAAGCGAGGCAGAAGGCGGACTTCGTTCGGAAGCTCTTGTATTGGCGACTGAATTGCAACGCGTTACTTTTTGGTTGATAGATACGCAGATGACGTGGACTGATGAGTGTGGGGGCTTGAGAAAAAGCGGAGGCCCGACGGGTATGCTCAGGGCTGTGGTTCATCAAGCAAAGGTTGAGCAAGCAGCGACCCTCTCACAGCCAAGGTCTGTATAGAATCAAAACTTCAAAAATAGTTGGGCCCACGCGCATTTCTCTCGCACGATACAAAACGACGTCTTCGCCAAGGATTCCCGAATTTCGTTCCCCCACGCACCGCGGCAGTCACGACGAGAGCCAGACATGCAGCAGCAATTCCATCCATGCATGCAACCAATACGAATACGCGCAATTGAATCAAGAATTGAAAGCTCTGGATCTGTTATTTCGCCCATTCTTCGAGGGACTTCTTGATTCTCGATCTCTCTAAGTCGAGACCTTGAATCCATCCTCAGCTTGTAGCTCGTCGACAGTTGGCTCCGACGACCATCGCATACCCCGAGTCAACACAGTCACGAGGAGCGACACGGGAGACGACTACAGACGACTGCACATACAGGCCTTGGATTTGTTATGGCATGCCAGTGCCCAAAACATTCGAGCGCATACATCCGGCAGCGACTTCCTCTTGTAACACATCATTGTGATTCTGTAAGCACGCTTGCTATTCATCAGACGTCAAAAGCCAGTCGTATCACTACATCAGCGAGCAACACCCGTCACGTCTGCTGCCCTAGCACCGCTGGTACCTCGCCCAGCGCTCGTCCAGCATGCCAGGCGTAAATTCCATCAAGCTCTTGACGGGTGCGTGAGGTGTGCTCCTAGCGTACCCCATGATGGCATCTACCCGAACGCTTCCGATACCATGTGGTCAATTTGCTTCCTCGACGCGCCGATAGCTGACTTGTGAACAAATGTCACCTGGCCGCAGGAAACTCTCATCCCGAGCTTGCGCAGCTGGTTGCGGATAGGTGCGTGAAGAGCAGGCTACGCACACATCACTGCCCTGCCATCATCTGACGAGGGTCTCCACTCATCAGGTTGGGCATTGAGAGGACACCATGCATCGTCAAGAAGTTTGCTGACCAGTCTATCGACGTTCGAATCGGCGCTTCGGTGCGAGACGAAGATGTTTTTGTGCTGCAAACCTCCAACTCATCGGCTGTGGATGCCAACGACAGCTTGATGGAGCTTCTGATTCTCATCAGCGCCTGTCGGACTGCTTCAGCACGACGCATCACTGCAGTCATCCCCTGCTTTCCCTATAGCAGGCACGACAAAAAGGACAAATCCAGAGCACCAATCACGGCCAAGTTGGTGGCCAATATGATCAGCGTTGCTGGTGCTGATCATGTGATCACCATGGATCTTCATGCGAGTCAAATCCAAGGGTTCTTCGACATCCCCGTGGACAATCTGACTAGCGAGCCTAGCGTCGCCAGGTGGATCAGGCAGAAGATTCCAGACTTTAAAAACTCCATCATCGTCTCGCCCGACGCTGGTGGTGCCAAGAGGTGCGTAGCGACTGCGCGTGCAATACTTCATGAGCTACTTGACCTGATTGACCTATTGCGCTTTTCTTGCTAGGGCCACATCTTTGGCCGACATCCTCGGCGTGGACTTCGCCTTAATCAACCGTAACCGGAAAAGGGAACAGAATAAGAGGCTGAGAGCAGCTGCGGCTAACGCCTCCAGTCTGAATGCCGGAGTCAGCAGGGCATCATCCTTTTCTGATCTGCAAAGCGGACTCAGCACGCCAATGACAGGAAGTTTCATGATGGAGTCCACTTCTGGAGTCGCGCACCTCAATGGCACCGCAGGTCCTACCACCCATGCGGATAGAGTCAAGCACGAGGCGCTGGGCACCGCTGCAGTAAGTTCCGTCCGCTTTGAAGCCCTAAGACGAACCGCGCTGATCGTCCACCTTACCATGCCCGCAGCCGCTCAAGGACGTCAGTGACCAGCTCTCCAGGCTCAGTGTCGGCGCAGAAGGCAACCCCAATTTGTCGCTTTCCGAGCGCACGCCACGACCTGAAGGCCTAGAGCCGGCTTTCGAACCTTCTTCGGGACCCATCGATAGCCTGAGACCCGGACAGCCGACCATGTTGGCTTCGTCATCCTCGTCTGCACTCACCACTCAGGATGATGATGGAGAGGAAGCAGAGACGAAGATGGAGATTCTGGTGGGAGATGTTGCCGGTAAGGTGAGCAGGTCAGGCTTGGCGAGAAATTGGTGCGGCGCCCTTTCACATCTGACGTGTTGCCCTTCCTATACACAGGTTGCCATTCTAGTGGACGACATGGTGGACACTGGACGGACGCTCGCGCTCGCTGCTAAGACTTTGAAGGATGCAGGCGCTCGGGCAGTCTACGCGCACATCTCTCACGGCCTCCTTTCGGGTCAAGCTACGAACCTGGTCAGGCGTCTAGACCTGGAGAGGTTGGTGGTGACCAATACCATTCCGAACAGCGACAAGGCGGAAAAGAGCAACGGCAAGTTGGAAGTGATGGACGTATCGGCAGTGATCGCGGAAAGCATCCGTAGAACTCATAATGGAGAAAGTATAAGGTGAGTAGACGGACTGCTTCTGCGCTGGACGCGGACAGATTTGATTGACGCCCTCCACATCCTATTATTTCGCACACCAGCATGCTTTTCGATGCAAACCTCTTACTTTGACTTGCCTCTGGATTAGAAATGATGATCTCGCTGTCGCACTATAATTTGAATATCAATATTCTTGGCACTCCTCCATCTGCACCCGCAGAGAGTCTTGCGCCAGTGCACACGCCGAAGCGATCGCTGCGCTTCCGCTCAAGCCGTGACAAAGCTCTTCGGGAATGGGTGGTGCTGCGAAAAGTGTAAGAACAGCTTAATGAAGTTGCTGAGGTGCACGAGTCACTCAATGATGCGTCTAGAATTTCGACTTTGTTCATTCACCCTTGTCGCGCTTCCAGGAGTCAAGTCCTTGGGCATATTTTGGCTCTTAGAATTCAATTCCCAGAAGGCGAAAAGATGAAAACGCCAACGTGAAGATGATAGCCATCCATCCCCGTTCTTGGTTCTCGACGCAGGTTCAGAGAAGTCGCTGGCCAACCTTGGTCACGTGAGTAAATTGTGCGACGCGCATGCATTGATCCAAGGATTGATCCTTGATCTCTTGGCGCAAGCATGCCAAGGATCATGGCGATGCTGACCTGCATGCGATGTGTGATCTGCGCCACCACCGCCATGTCGGCCACGCAATCGGGAGGCACTTGATGGCGAAAGCATGTTCAAGTGCGATACTCGACCTTCGCGTCTCGCCTCCTCGATAGAAAGAATTCGAGGTATGGCGTGAACAGGCCATTTGCTGGCGCCAGCGTGAAGAGCTAGCTATATTGGCCTCCGTTACTTCCATCCTTTCGGGCCAAGTTGCTATCTCATTATCTGGTTCAGATCAGCAGATTGTCTTCAGCAGGGCAAGAGTATTCCAGAAGAAATCGCAGGCGGACATGTACGTGCACATTCTACCCACCACGGGAGCCATCTCGTTTCAGGATTTCTTACAATCAGGCACTACCTTGACTTCGGAGCTGGCAAGGACGACGGAGCTGAGAGCTTCTTTGAGGTCCGTCCTCAAGGAGCAGAGGCATGAGAAGAAGAGCAAGGTCGAGGAGAACGATGGAGACGAGAGGGAAGCGAAGGTCACGGATAAGGATTGGTTCAGAATCGTCAAGGTAAGCTGATCCTGAGCAACAGGCGTAGCAGCAGCACAAGAAGGAGCAATCTAAGCTCATCGACTTTGCTTCGTGCTTTTGAAGGCGGTGGAAGAGTATCTGCCGCATCTATTTGGCATCTTCAATTGCATACAGACGGACGATCTCCTGCTGAGGCACGAGCCGCGTGAGTGACTGGGCAGAAAGAGGAGCTTGGGCGATTCCATGAGCTCTGGGCTGACGGAAGCGGTGATGTTCTTGCTCTCAGGATTTTCATGGAGGACTACTTTATCGTCATCCTCCTTCATGCGCGATGCTCCACGAGTAACTCTGCCCGGCCTGCACTATGAGCTGTGCTCAGTGCTCTTGCTGTCCGGCACCGCGCTATCCAACTTGGCGGCCTCGTATGTTGCCTCACTCGGCGACTACGAAAGAGACAGGCTACTGACCACAGAGCAGCGCAAGGCTAAAGACGAAAGGCTCAGGTTAGCTGCTGATCTTTTGTGCAAGGCGGCGGGCATCTTCGAGTACCTTGGAGAGGACCTCATACCGCAGTGGGAAACGGTCGCTGGAAAGATCGATGGCAGACCACCTGATGTGACGCGAGAGGTCACGCTAGCTATGAGCAAGTGAGTTCATGTACAAATGGCCTTTCAGATGCCTGCTGCTAGCACAAGTCGGCGCAGCATACACATTGTCCGCTGACAAGGCTTTCGTTTGCGAAGGCTCGCAATGGCAGATGCAGAGTCGTTAGCCGTCCGCAAGCTCCTTTCGCCCTTCCTGTCGACATCACTGGACACGATTACGCCTGGTCCGCCTTTGCCAAAAACCCATCCTTCCGCGTCTCTTTTGGCTAAGTTGAACCTGAACGTCTGCCAAAGGTACGAGCAAGCGAGATCCCTGGCGCAAGTAGTGGGCAAAAAGCCGAGCATGAAGAATGTTGATAATCTTGCTTCTGAAGCAGATGGGCTGCGACGGCCTGAACTGCAAGCGGGAAACGCAGCTTTCGGCAGCATTGGAATAGACGACGACGATCGACTTGATTCGGCCGTTGGCGGGAAGGGCGCACATAAGATCAGCAGCAAAACTGGAGGAGGTCTTTTGGGCAAGCTGAAGCCTAGCATTTCGTCAGAGCGACCCTCTTCAGGCTCTGGGGGAGGTGCATTCTCACCTGGTGCAGACGAAGATCTCTCCGTGGGGTCTCTGCTGCTCAAATACCTTGCCACGCGCGGCTTGTTGGCCAAGGCCAGGGCGCACAAATGGTTGGGCATAGATAGCGGCGAAGCGGGAAGGTATGGGGACGCCATACCTTTCTTGCGCACAGCGAAGGAGATACTGGAAGATGAATTGAGCACTACACGTCGCTTCGCTCATTTCAGAGACAAGAAGGGCAAAGATGCGAGGGAAGAGCTCAAGAAGGAAAAGGAGGATGAGTTTGCCATTATCAACCACTGGCTAGCTTCGTACATCAAGCTGAATGATACCGTGAGTCTTTCGAGAGCGAGCTGCGCTCAGCGCTGATCAGTTCGATCCCGGGAGCAAAATGCTGCTCGTTCGCACGTGGCTCATCTCTACTTCGCGCATCTCACAGGTCGCTTTTCAGCCATTGACAAAGTCCACGGAGATCAGTACACGCATTCCAGCCGGTCGATCGGCCCTCGTCATAAAGCGTTTCAGTCCTCCAGTGCCTGCCTTCGGTCCAGGTTCGCCAGGTTACATCTCCGAGAACATGAAGCGTCTGGGAGTGGGAAATGAGACTCAAGAGTCACATAGACCCATGCTTGCTATCGACAGATCGTCCGGGTCTCTTCTTGAAGACAATCGTCTGGACTTGGGGGAAACGGTGGGTGTCATCAGACCCAAACCTAAAGATCAAGAGAGGGATTATGCTCATTCCATGCCGGGATATTATTAAATGCAATCCAATGCGGCCTTGTTCGAGCATAGCCTTGTTCGAGCATAGCCTTGTTCGAGCATAGCCTTCTTCGAGCATAACAACGGTGTATTGCAGATGAAAGGAGGGCTAGGTGGACTATAAAGCTATGAGGCGGTGTGGCACGGAGTGTGATGGTGTTCCTAGCAATACAGATGCTTTGCGTGGCACAGAAAAGAGGGAACAGAGCGAGATACTATAGCACGTGGGAAAGCTGATCGAAGAGCGAGCATGCCCACAATTGAAGAGATGAGTGGCAAGACAAGAATGCTGAACTGTTGCGGCATGATCAAGAACCTGCAGGTTTGATAAAGTAAGAGTCTATCCTGCGTTTCTTTTTGCGTGCAGCATACCGAGGATCAAATATGGGAGCAAGTCTGGAAGTGCCACCGTTGTCTCGACCGGATGCTTCTGCGTTTGCACCGGTTTGGCAATCTTCGGAAAGATGTTCGTCGAGGGCGAGAGCAGCTTGGCTCTCCGTCGCTTGCATCGGCCAGTGGACCCATTTGCCGCAAATGGGGCAGTTACCCCCACCCTCTTCGTGCTCTTCGAGCTTGACCAAGTCAGAACGCATCGAGTTCGAGTCGTCCACCAACAGGTCATGCCGTTCGTCTCTCATGTTGCGAATAACTGGGCGATCTGTCTTGATCTCCCGCACTAACCGTTCTTCGACGCTGGGGCCGTCCTCTGGTGAACGATCCTGAAGAGAAGCCTCAATCGCCAAGCGAAGCTGCCTCTCCTCATCTTCAATCAAACGCTCCTGCTCTGCATGACTTTCCGCCGTGGAATATGAGGGTGCAGCCTTTGCTCGTTTGAACGCATTCTCTATGCTTCCCGCTGCTTGGCTCTTGCGCAGATCGATTAGCGTTCCCGCCTGGTCAGGTGAAGATGCTTTAAAAGAGTCAATAGTCAAACGGTTAAGAGCTGTCCAGAGTGATTGGACCACTCACTCGAACCCCGATCAGTCTCAAAGTCAATTTCCTCTCCTTCAGCTCGGCTAGCAACAGCTCCTTTGTGATCCGGAACAAATCGTCCGCCTTCCACACTCTGTGTCCCAAGGTCAGGTCTCTTGTAAATCGCGTGTACGAAGAGGTTTTGCAGGTAAGCGTGACCTTTTGTGCATGGTAACTTTCTTCTTCCAGATCAGATTCGACTTTGTCTGCGCATCTTCGAAGCTCGGACAGGAGCTCCTCCAGGTTCGAAGTAGGGGTAAAGGTGTGTTCTCGACCCACGCTTCGACGCCAGCCTGCACGATGTTGGGACAAATCGTCCAGGTATCAGATGTGGGAGCGAGACGGCGCTGTGATAGGTGCCGATGGGTGTGACGCGTCTACTCACCGCGTTCGGTAGGAGCGACATGCGTCTTACCGAGTCCGAGGTAAATAGCTAAGAAAGACTCTGGGTGTCTCAGAGTCAAAGCCAGCACGACCCTCTTTTCCCAGATGTCTCCACATGTCTTGGCGAGCCAAGATTGGTTGCATAAGAAGCGGAATCACTTCCAACTATGGATACTTCTCAGATCGGACTCACATCAATGCCTAGAGCTTCAAGGTAGCGCTCAGTGACACGTCCAATACCGCTGACTTTTCGTACTGGCAGGTCGTGCATGAAATGCATAATGTCGGTCGCGTTGGCGGGAACCAAATACTGTCCATTCGGTTTATTCTTGTCACTGGCGATCTTGGCTGACGTATTGGCGAGTCGTTAAAAGGGAAAAATGAGTCACGCATTGAAGCGAATAGGCCGCGGTCACAGACTTCTCACCCAATCTGCAATTAGCTGCAATACCGCACGAGACCGTTAGACCAGTGGCCTGCTTCACATCTTCTCTCAACTGTGATGTTGCCAACGTCCGGTCCAGCAGTGTCTTAGCACAGACCCTCATGTCGATGATCGTTCCACAAGAGCGCACTCACTCTTGCGACAGCCTCATCGGCATCCACTCGATTTGACTCGCAGTACTCAGTGATGTCCAGGTAACTGTCGGCAATAAAGAGCAAGAGAGTCTTAGGCATTCGTCCCACCACCAGCACGGCTCAGAGACACACGCACGCTTCATCGAGAGACGCTTGAGCCATAGTTGGATCGTACTCGTGCATCACGGCCATCACCTTTTCGCTCGTCTCAATGTAATGTTTCATGTCGTTATCGACGAGGATGATGTGAGGACAAAGAGCCTTGGCAATATGCTGGTTTGGAGCAAAGGAAAGGGCTATTTTGAGCATTTCGTCGGGATTTGGACACTCTACTCTCCAGGCCATGGTAGTACACTCACCCCTGCCATACCGGAGCGCACTCCAAACGCTCTGGCTTCGTACGAGCAGGTGACGAGTACCCCGTGCCCTACGCCGAAACATTTCCCCGTCAGACTTGGGTCGCGTTTGAGCTCGCATGCCTATGCCGAGCCACAGCCAGACGCTTGGTTAGTCCAGCCCAGCTGCTCGGCTCTCGAGAAGCTCGTGTGCCCACTCACACCGTAAAAGAAGTCCATGTCCGCATGCACCACAACTCTGCTCAGATCCCTGGTCGCCTCCAAATCCCTTATCATGACATCAACTTTCTTCTCTTGATTCCTCCACTCTACACTGTCAGGAAGTACGCGGCTCATGATATCATCCTTGTCTGCTAACATGGATTCGATCTGACGCTCTATCCTCTCGCTCGTCTCCTTTTCCTTCAGAAAGAAGCGACTGCCTTTGGAAGCTTCGTAGATCTACGCAGGAATGTAACACTGCTTGTTCAGCCCGTCTAAACGCATGTATGCGCACGACAACGATATACACTCACGATTTTGTTGATCTCATCCTGATCCTTGGCCAAGCCAGCCTTGCCGCTGGAGGCTGAAGAGGAGCGGCAACCACACAAAGAGACACGGTGTTGCAGTTCAGCTCGCGACTACCGATGAGGGCAGCCCCAATCTGTGGCAATCATTATTACTTACGGCCAGCCATGCGCTTCCTGAGCCTAGCGAGCGCCTCCTCATCCTGCATTTTTCTTTCATTCGAGCCTTGCGCCTTCTTACCCGCCTTCTGAGCCTCCGAAGTGCCACCATCCTCTGCTCTGTCCTTGCCCTTGCCCTTGAGCGGAGATCTGACGTGTGAATTGCCATTCCCGGTGCTGGACGAGATCTTCTTCTTTGGAGAGATGTTGTGTCTGCCTGGAAACGTCATCGCGAAGGCGCTCGGCTTGAAATTGGGAGGCAGATCTTGATCTCGATCTAATGATTCTCTCATCGAAGGCGGAGCTCGACCGGCGGCTGTCAGCTCAGCAAGGTCCCCCTGCTTCGCATTGTTGGGTAAGTAAAGATTCGCGGCGTTCTGAACACAAGCCGCCGTGTCTCGTGCAGCGGATGATTTGATGGACGCTCAATCTCTACGACTTTCCTCTTGTCGACAAGCCGAAGCGGGTGAGGGATGAGGCATTTGAATCACGAATGCAAGGTGCGGTGCGTACATGCAAACATAGGTACCTACCTACGTTGAGCTGCAACTCAAGACTGATGAGCTTCCCCTCCGCCAGCCATACCACGTCTCGGCTGCTTACAGTCGTGAGTTCGTGATTTACGCGCCTCGCCTCCTCCACGCGCTTTTCTGTGGTGAGGCGCGCACGTGACGCGAATCACCAACACTTTTCATCCGCCATCCCTCGAACATCTTCGATAGACGCGCATTCGTGATTTCTTGATTCACAATTATCTCCACCAATACTCGTGATTATCATCAAGGCCTCAATTACACCAGTGCGTGATCAGACACAGCGCATTCGAGTACACACACCCTCTCTCTCCTTCATCGTCGCGTCGATATCAGTTGCGAGCGAGTTCAAGGTGAAGACAAGACGTCCGATCATGTTTCGCTGTCAGAAGTGTGCGCAGCGGGCTTGTACTACGCTAGCTGAGCAGGACAGCCAAGGTGCAACGAGGAGGTCTCAGTCCGCGGTCCAGCGCATAGCTTCGATGCCACGGCCGTCTAGCAGATTTGCGCACGTGCAAGCTGTTGCGTACTCTTCATATCACCCGGGCAAGCTCTCGTCCAAGCGTACCAGTAACGCATCCACTTCTCGTTTTCGATTGCAAGAGACTAGCAAGATTTCGGTCAGCACACCCAGGTCCGAGAGGAGATGGGTCTCTTCAGGTGCATCAATGCCCGACAGCGCCGAGGATGGATCGCTATCGATAAGCGCCGAGGAGGTTCGGGACTTGGCTCAAAGCACAAGTTCTGAAGGTGTAATGACGGTCGGTGGCTTGCTGCGCAGTGAGTGTGTGTGTGTGTGGCATACAGCGATCGAGAAGCAGGAAGCAGGCTGATGAGCTTCGCTGTGGTGTCCCGCTCTACCACTCACCTGTGTCGTTCACCAGTATATCTCACCCAAAGAGGTCGTGCCTCGGAATCGGGTCGATACATGATTGCGCATGACGGCCACCGAGCGATTTCCCTTTTTGAGCTTGTGAAGGATCATTCCTCATCCAGCCTCCAATTTCTGACCTCGGCTCACCCCACTGTCCGCGACGCGATCTGGAGGACTGCGGCTTGGACGATCGCGGCTGCTCTGCTGGAGGTGAAAGGCAGGCATGTAAATATGGCCGGCTCACCTGGGCTGCTCTCAGAAGGGAGCGGTGGAGATGGCTTTACCCTCTCATGGGTTGGAGACGAGACAGACTCAAGACCCCCCTCCGGCTCCTCTCGCACCCAGCGTCCCTTGGATGATGCAGCAGAATACGTCAAAGCTTTGAGTCCGGCGAGTCTTTTGAGCTCACAGGAGCTGAGTCAGCTTGCGAAGCGAGCGAGCAAGATGTCGGGCAAATTGGAGCTGCTGAGCGTCGATGTAGCACAAGCACGCCAGCTGCTAGCTAACAATCCACTCAAGCTGGAGGAGCTGGCAGCGAGAGGCATAGATGGTGGAAGAGTGGAGCTGATCAGGCTGGCATCTTTTATCGATCTTGCACCCTTGCCGGGACAGGCGCTACTTGGGGAGGTGCGACGCGGCTCGTTGGCCATCGAGCTGAGCAACTGTGACACGGCGACTTGGGTGCCGGCCACGTCTGGTGCATCAGTCGAGCCGTCGGACGTACAAACTCTTATTCGAGTTCGTGGCATAGCTTTTGAGAGCAAGGAGGAGCTCGCAGCGTACAAGGAGAAGATGAATGCTGCAGCTGAGGCTGATCACCGAGCTATAGGCTCGGCACAAGAATTATTCATCATTCACGACGCTTCGCCTGGAACGCCCTTTGTCCTACCGAATGGCACTCGCTTGATAAGAAAAGTGGAGAGGGTCATCAGAGATCTGTATGCGTTGTGGGGCTATGATGAGATCATCACGCCTCAGCTCATGCGCAAAAGTCTCTGGCAACGGTCTGGGCACTGGGACAACTATAGGGCCGACATGTTTGGCGTGCAGGGGTTTGTCGATGCTGACGTGGTTGAGCGCGAGGGCGCTGCACACACTCCAGCGCCAAACACCAGCGCGACGCTTGTCGAAGATAGGCCTTGCTGCGCTGCTCATGACCAGCCTAAACCAGCCTCGACCTTGTCAGATGCCCAGCATTTTGGACTGAAGCCCATGAATTGTCCGGGCCACTGTCTTGTCTTTGCTTCGAAGGAACGATCGTATCGCGATCTGCCGATCAGGTATGCAGAGTTTAGCCCTCTTCACCGGTGAGTGCTTCAGGTTTTGCCTCGAGTAGCTTCTTGTGCTTTTGCTTTTTTCTGCTTGCTCTCACACAATTTTGGTTCGGATTTGTTGATGCTAGAAACGAATCTTCAGGCTCTTTGTCTGGACTGACGCGTGTCCGACGCTTCCATCAGGACGATGCGCACGTGTTCTGTTCGCTGGCGCAAGTCTCTGAAGAAATCACTTCGATGCTGGCAATGCTCTCTTCGGCTTACAGAACCTTCGGCTTCGAGAGCAAATTTGAGCTCGTCCTATCCACCAGACCTGCGAGCTTCATAGGCAGCATCGAGGAGTGGGACCGGGCAGAAGCGGCCTTGGAAGAAGCGTTGAATGCGTCGGGCCAGAAGTGGAGCTTGAACGAAGCGGACGGAGCTTTCTACGGGCCCAAGATAGATGTCAGGCTGGTGGATGCTTCTGGCCGTCGACATCAGACGGCCACGATTCAACTAGATTTTCAGTTGCCTCGTCGATTTGAACTGAAGTACACCGATCCGAACGCTCTCGACGGTAGTGGCCAGTCGACCCCTGTAATGATCCATCGAGCCATACTGGGGAGCGTCGAGAGATTCTTGGCGATCTTGATAGAGCAAGGCAAAGGTAATTGGCCCTTCTGGATCAATCCTAGACAAGCTATCGTACTTCCTGTCAAGCCGGACGACTCTGCACAGCTGGCTCATGCCGAGCTGGTCAAGAAAGAAATGGCTCTGGGACACGCCCATGCGCTGAAGGACAAGAATATGGGAGTGAGCCTGGACAAGCCTTTACCGCCTAGATCGATCCAGGTGTTCCATGTTGATCTGGACGCAACCAACGCCAGGTATCCTAAACGAGTCGCTAAGGCGCGAGCCGCGCGCTTCAGTTTTGTGCTCACGGTCGGCGATCGAGAAGTGAGGAACAAGACGGTAAATGTGACGGCTTATGGTCCTGGAGTGACTGCGGCTGCGACAGGAATAGTGTCGGGTGGCGACGCGAGCGCTGCGGAACGATTACAAGATATTTTGGACTCGCTGCAGGCTGGCAAGAGACCAGACATCGCAAATGATATGGGCGAGTGGAACACGAAGAATCTAAGGAAGTTGTTCGAGGCGCTCGACTCGTACCATTGTTGATGCGAGTTGGCTATTTGCTTCCTTCCTTGCCCCTCATGTCTCACCGAGAGCGCGCACGCCTGCGGATCGATTTGTAACTAACTGCACGCACGAAGTTCAGTCTGCGATGCGAGTCACTTGAGCGCGATGAGCAGGTCGCTGGGAATTTGACTGGCTTTTCTTCCGACTTCATTCCGTGATTGCAAGTGTGTTGCTAGGAGATGATTACTGCGGTAGTCACATCAGAAGTCATTCCGCGCAGCAGACGCGGTTTTGGGCTTTGGCAGCCGCGGCGGTGGTCCGAATCTCCGAGCTCGTGCACGGACTCGCGACTTGCGCCGAATGATCTTGATGCATTCAGCGCATGTTGCTTCTCGCGTTTCTTCCCTTCCATTCTCCACCATTCCTGGTTCATATTGCACAGCTATTTGCAGCAACCACCCCTTCGACAAAGTAGCACAGCTCAGCAAGCAGCTAGGCCGGCAAGGATGGCTGCTTCCACCAGCAGTAAACCTGCAGTTCGAAGCTCATCCCATCTCGACATCTTTTTGAACTCTCATGTTCTGAATACTAGCGATGCGAGGGCAGCGGAGAGGAGATGGGTAGCTGATCGTGCTGCAGCCGCTGGACCCGTGGGCTTCGATGTGGATGCTGCAAGTAGAGTGCATGCAGATCGTCAGTCGACAAAGCAGCGAGCGGCTCTGCAGGAAGCGACGAGGATAAGGAGAGCAGAGACAGAGTGGATCGCTGAAGCGAACAGAATTGTGAGTCTTTCACGTCATCGCTGACTTGTGAGAAACCACACTGAATGATCGCTTGGAACGTGCGCACCAGTATGCGCACATCACATCCCTTCTGCTCTTCTTGTCGACAATAAGGCGCCCTTATTTGGATCTCTCTGGACGCTCTGGTCCGGCTTACCCTGCTCATGGTGCTGACGACCGTGATGGGTTTGGCAACGATGCAGAGACCAGTATCAGCGGTGCTGGAGGGAATTCCCTCAGAGGCTTTCAAAGATGGTCCAAGCTGGGGACTCTCACGGACGGTCAACGGGACGAGATCGATTTTGCGATGAGAAGCATGATTCAGGGTGCTATGAGTCGAATACGCGAGCTGGAAAAGGGCGAAGAGGGTGAGTCTTGTTTAACGTGGAGCTCAGCCGTCTTTCCGATTGATGACTCGAGCGTCCTTTCTGTGGCCTTCGTCGCATTTAGTCAGACAGCGCACAACACCAGCTCTTTCTGTCAACCCGCTCTCTCGACTACTGCGCGCAAGTCTGCCCGGAGAAGATCAATTTCCAGGCCGGTCTCACCCTTTGTATGCCAGTACGCTCACCACACATCGGGCATCCATCGTAGCCTCTCTCAATAGCAGGCTAGCAGGAGCTAGTTCGCGGCTGAAGGATTTGCAGGAAAGACGACTGGCTGCCGCCAAGAGGGCTCAGCGGGTCAAGGCTGGCGCGAGTGCAAGGGTAGCGCTAGGCGAGGAGAATTCAAAGCGAGAGAATGGAAGTGAGAGAGAGTCGGCTGCTGCGGTAGCTGGTGTGTCCGGCTCTCTAGGCTTGCCAGAGGTCAGCGCAGCTCAAGCACAAATGTACGACTCGGAAGCTTCAGCACTCGTGAAAACTCTGGAACAGGATCTTTCGGCAATTCAAGCGGCGGAAAGAAGACTGGTGGAAATTTCAGACCTCCAGACTCAGTTGATCTCTCACTTATCTGAGCAGACAGAGTTGACTACGAGACTGGGCGATGAAGCTTTTGAGCATCAGAGCGAGGTGCAGAGAGGAAATGATCAACTGAGAAAGGCAAAGGAGAGCAACAGAAAGGCTACGCAGTGGTTGGCCATGTTCTTGGTAGGCAGCGGACTTGGCCTACTGTTCCTGCACTGTGAGTGTGAAGTTGGCACAAGATGCTCGAGGTTGCGCACGCGACAAAAGAGCTGATCAGCGCAATCACCCCTTCTTACTGCCAAAGGGATGGACTAATCGTCAAGGTCTTAGCTAAATCCTTACTGAAGCGGGAGTAGGCACTCTGCGTGCATGTGGCACCCAATCACCGTCGACTTGCACACGTGTAATCACGCAGGCCGTCGTTCGACTACCAATGCAGCATCACTCCATGTCATACATCCATTGCATCGAACTCTTCATCCAGTTTTGAAGACTCTTGACCACCCATAGCCCTGACCAGCTTCCTCGTTCTGTCTCTAGCGGCCACATCCAGCTCGTGTGCCAATATACTCGCAGCATCTTGTGCCAGATCTAGCATGGCTAATGTTGCTTCGAGCGGTGTCCTATCTTCCGATCGAGCTAGCACTACTCCGCCAGTATTTGCGAGCAGGGCCAGCGTGAGCGAGGGAAGAGATAGTGTTTCTTGGTTTGTCAGGTCGAGAAGAATGGCGGATGGAGAGAGGTGGTAGCCTAACGTGAGAGAAACCACTGGAGACGATAAAGCTATTCCGGCGTCTTGCAATGCGAGCGAAGTTGCGTTGATGGCGCAAGGCAGCATACCTGGTTCACGGCGTAGGGGACAGGGGTGAAGCGTTGAGTATGATGCGTCACAAGGATTGGCCCACTATAGCACACACTCACCTCCATCATCCACCTCTACCAGCACATCTATCGCGATCTCGGAGCGTGGGTATAGATGCGTGTGCACGACTGGTCCAAAGACTGCGCTGATAGTATTCGCCAGCTCCGTCAAACGTCTTGGCAGTTGTAACGGAAGAAGAGATAAGCATTGACAGCTTCCTTTTGTCGCAGCTTGTGCGCGGCTCCTGTACAGACCGGGACCCTGTTGCAACTATAGCGCTGAGCACTCACCTGTCTCCCTTGGCTCTCCTTCTCCGCTCCTTTCCCGCATGCGGGTCGATGGCGAAATCAACATCCAAATGAGCCTTTTGAACTGAGCTTCCCATGCCAGAAAAAGTCCCGCTTCTCCTCTCCCTAGGCCCATGTACCTCGACCAATACGCTGGTCAGGCCCATTTCTAATCTTGCCGATCCTGATGGAGATGCGCTCGTGAGACTTGATACTGGCGCTAGAGAGGTGCTCGATGCTGCGTGTGCGGATGAAGAGGCTGAAGGAGAGATGTGGACGGCTAAAGAACGCAGCTCTAACGGCCTGCGCGAATCTAGACGCAGCTGACCAGCCGAAAGAAGCTCCAATCGTGACTAGAGTGAAGTACGATTGCACTTAAGCAGATGCGTAGTCTGCACAGCTGAAGCTCGGCGCTGTCGTTGACTCACCATCCTGATGAGCGACCCGAGACGAGGACGAGGACGAGCAAAGCGGAAAGAGAATCGCCAATGTGTCTGGCCCCGTAAGCCTTCGCGAGGTAGTTGGGCTGCTGCTAAGCCTCCTCTCCGCTGTGAACAAGTGTGTGAGACGAAAACTAAGCCTGCCCTTTTATCTTTCACCGGGTCTGTGGGCTTTCAATATGGACCAATGTGCTGAGTGGAGGTAAGCAGCAGGATGGACAGACTGGTGAGGGGGGCGTGGGCGTGATCGGATTGAGCAGCTGCTGGATGGTTGCATGCATGCATGCACCTCGCTGCGAAGCTTTGCTTGCGTTGACGCGGTGCACTTTTTTTGCGGTCGTGTGCGTTTTCGCGCGGCCGGGGGCTGCAGGCAGTCAATGTGAGAGAGGACATTCACGATTGCCTGGCTGCCCTCCATCAGAAAGGGGGTGGATCCGTCAGCACCATACCTTGCATGCTCCCCGACATCACTAAGACGACCTCAAGCTCCTTCGCTCGCAGCTGAGGCGCTCTCCAAGCTCTCTGCAGCCTCTACTCGAATATCGTACAAACGCCTGCGGCCCAAACCAGACCTGAGGAGTTAGCTACCTTCACTACAATCCGCAGGTCTGTTGAACTCGGAAAGGCCGCATCAAAGCGGAAGCCGAAGCTTCAGTGCCACAGCAGCCCTCCTCCATTCGTTAGGGGTACTCTCGTCGTCTGATCGCGAGGCGTGACGAGCCAACATGCCAGCATCCGCATCTGCTAGCTCTTCGAGGAAGCCTTTGGGCTCCTCCTCCTCCAAAATGTCAAGCGGAGAGATCAAGCTGTACAAGACCGTCATGTCGAATCCTGACCATGTGAGTGGGTCCAAAACGAGTGCCTCGCACTCAATTTGCGCCACAGTGTTCCGCTGCCAAGACCTCAGTAAAGAGGGCGACTCAGCATCGAGGATGGCAGATACTGGGGTCCTCCGTTCGCAGCCGGAGCTACCCCTTACAATCTGCCAAAAAGCTTGCCATGCTGACCAAACCCTTACAACCCTTACGCCTCCACAGACGATGGGCGATGATCAGCTGGAACAGTCTGTCACGCTTCCTTTGGACCAGCTAATGGAAGCGATCAATGGCTTGCTGCGCAAAAGTCTTCTGACCATCTCCAACGTCAAAGGCAAGCAGACTTATACGGCCATTTCTCGCAGTGAAGCCAGTCTCATCGGATCCTTGGATACGGACGAGACGATCATCTATCAGCACATCAAGGAAGGCGGCGATCGAGGTATCTGGACAAAGTCCCTCAAAGCCAGGTCAAACCTGCATCAGACTGTAATGACGCGCGTCTTGAAAAATCTGGAGCAGAGGCAGTTGGTCAAGGTAGTCAAGGATGTCAAGGCAAGTTGGAGGATGTGTTGGAGCGCGCTGCGACGGAGCTGACCGAATCCTACCTTTCCTATTCTAGACACCCACGCGCAAGATTTATATGCTAGCCAACCTCACGCCTGCAGCGGACATGAGTGGAGGACCTTGGTACACTGACAACGAGCTTGATACTGTCTTCATTGAGCAGCTTTGTGGAGCTCTGCATCGACACATCGCACAGGTCGTGAGTGAACTCGGTGAGCTCGCTGTCCTGTTCAGCATTGACCGCATGTGCCCAACAGACATGGCCTCAAGTGGATAATAGTACAGCCCCTTTGGGACCTCTTCATCCTGCATCGCATTCGCGCTCACTACCGACTGCATCGAGCTGTTTGAGGTGGCTCAAGGCGCGTAAAGTCACCGATATCGAGCTGGATGTGGAACATGTCAACACATTGCTGCAGGTACTCGTCTACGACGACAAGATTGAAAAGATCCCTTCGACCGGTTTCCCCAGCTTTTCAAGCTCCAATCAGCGTAGAAAGGATCCCAACGCGGAGTGGCAGGACGGTGAGGTGTCTGGCCAAGAGACTGCTAGCGAGAGCGAAGACGACGTCAGGAGCGACAGAAGCGGAAGCAGCAGGAGCCGCAGCAGAAGCAGTAGTGAGAGCAGTGCAAGTGGGAGCTCGAGCACTGCGTCCGACTCAGACAGTGGGAGCGATTCGAGGTCCTCAAGAGCTACCTCGCGCTCTCGAAGTCGCAGCGTGTCAACCCGTAGCGATAGCGGCAGTGAAGGAGGACCTCGACGCAAACGAAGCTCTTCGAGACGCAGCAGCTCCGGGAAATCATCTTCCAAAAGCAAGAAAAGGAAGCGAAAGGAGCACAAAAGCTCCTCCAGGAAGCGCCATCGCGATGACAGTCGCAGTCGGAATCGGCCCCGATCGAAGTCTGACTCCCACTCGAATAAAGACCGGTCTCGATCCAAGTCAAAATCAGGCTCACACAAGAGTTCCCGGAAGAAAGAGAGTGAGAGTAAATCAAGCAAAGATAGAAGAGAGCGATCGAGCACCTCCAAGCCTGCTTCTGCCGTCAGGAATGCCGCTGTAGCAGCCATACCTGTGAACTCGGACGAGGAATTCGAAGAAGAATTCAACGTGGGCGGTGAGCTCTGGGTGTACAGAGCCATCAAACCGTTCAGTGTGCACGTCGCCTGGACCGAGACTCCATGCGGACATTGTCCCGTATTCGACTTTTGCGAACCCAAAGGTCCCGTCAATGCGGAAGGGTGCATTTACATGGACGAATGGATATACCGGGCTGGGCAGAAGGAAGAGGACGAAGATGGAGAAGACGATCCTATGGATGCGAAGGACGCTGCATAATTTCGCTGATACTGGGAACTAGTCGGGTCGCTGCCTAGTCATTTGTTGGAGTCCGCCACAAGTGGCGTTTGCACGCACAGACTCTGCCTTTTCGGTGGCGAAAAGGTCGGCTCGAATCACGCCACCGCAACGAATACTCATACCATTCGCGCCCCGTTCTCAAAAAGAACTTTGCAGCTTTTCAAGGACCGCCAACCCTGGTCTGCGCCTGAAAGGCGCCTGAATCTCATGCAATCAGGTTGCGCTTGGCAGCGCTCTTGTCCCGTTCTGCGCACCTGTATACTAAGTCCTGCTGGCACCACTCGTGGCGTGAGTGCCGACACATTCAACGACCGCTCCTAGAATGGTGATGCTTGGACGAGCATCTGACCGTGCACGAATTCTGCAGCTAGTAGTGTCGGTCCTGGCCATGGCAAGTCTGCGAGCGTAGTTGCTCTCGATCAGCAGGAAGCGCAATATGGCCCCTCGTCTTCCAGGTCTTGCTTCGGAAAACGCGGCGAGCAATGGTCGGATGATGAATCGATCGCATGCCTGTCAAGGCGACACGTTAGCGATTTGATTCCCTGCGTTTTATGAGTAGCAAAGTACGGGAAGGTGGCGCCGGTACATTTGAGATTTCAAAGCGAAAGCGTACATCGGACTGCAGACCGTCACCCATCAACATGTCCTTGGCTAAGATGCCGCGATCGCCTTCGACTATGATGCTATTTCTCGCCACCACACGTGGCGCATCGGTCTGATGTAGGCTCTTTAAAAGGATCCACCCAGTCGGTCTAGCCCTGATGTTTCCTCCTCTCCGTCGTAGAGTTGCTGGCCACTCCATCATTGACTCTTCGCTTCAATCTTTGCGCTCTCTTCAATGCAGGATGGTTGTTCTGTCCCAGCCCCATCACTTCAAACCCTTCTTGCAGCTGCCCCTTTTGGTAGCCTTTGCGGCATGTTGTGTCGCGATCAAGCCACTGGGGGAATGGATGCGGGTAAAGACTAAGGATGCCAGGGAAGTCGAGCTGATCAAGAACGGACCTCGACTTGGCTTCAATGGGATCAAGAGCGGCAATATACAGAGAGGGATGGCGCACTCCGTTCGAGACCATTTCGGCACAGAGATGCCCCCGGTCGTGCAAGTGAGTATTCTGGAATGTTAATGTGCTACCCTGGAGGCGTCTTGTGTGAACTTTTCAATCTAAAGAGGTGGGGTTCTCTACCTTTCTCAGGCTGTGACAGGGTTCCGAAAGTCGAATGAGATTCCATACACGCACTTCCGAGCCAAAGTATGGGACAGAAATATCAAGACCAAGACATGGGACGAAGTACCTGGGACAGGTCCTGATGGTACTCATGTCATTCCCTTGCCCCACAATCGGGACTTCACCACTCCGGAAGGCGCTCTTTTCACCTCGCAGGAGGTTGCGCGCTCATACGCAACGGTACCGGATACAAAGAAACCAACACTGCCGACTTGGATCCATCTCAATAAGCTAGATCAGCATGGCGACGTCGTTGGCGAGGTGATCGCTGGACCGCCAAGGTTGCGTACCGGAGGCATCAAGTCGAAAAGCAAGCCATCGATGTGGCACGGGTACGAAGGCGAGCTCGCCCAGACGCACCGCAATCACTTTCCTCCCATCACCAGAACCGGGGTAGGCAGCCGCCTTCCTCACGTGCGAGAGATTGCGAGGCAAACGCGTCTCAATCGGACCACCTCAAAGCATCGTAGCGGTAGCACCATGGGTCCTTTCCTTGGTGTTGCTCACCGGAAGCTGCACAATCGCGAGAAGGTCGAGGAAGCAGCGTGGTCGCAGAATAGGGCTGGTGCGCCATCGCAGAGATCGCCTGCCAGACAACAGGAAGACCCCATTGGTGCCGTACACAGGAATCAGGGTGCAGGTTTCCCGCTGCAATCGGATGCCACCCCAGCCCTTTCGGAGTCTCGGGCTGGTCCTTGAACCACGTCCTCAGCAGGCAGAAATCACTCCCACCGAAGTGAATTTCAACAATGCTAGGATGATGTACAACCAAACAAATTTGTCTTGGCATCGTTCGTTAATACAGTGATGCACGCCAGGTCGAGACATTCAGCCGGGGTGCTCATGCACTTGTGGATGCGACTTTCGTCTACGTGTAGGTCGCACCATGCGCCTGCTGACTCGATGCCAAGGCTTCAAAAGGTGGCTGGCATGCAGATCTGTTTACACGATTTGGAGACTTTTCGTTAGACCTGATAGGCAATGTAGGCATAGCGGCCTTGTTCTCGGCCTAAAAAGCCATAACCCTGAGGCAGATGAAGTGATTTTCAGCTCGCGGTGTGCCAAATGGCCAAAAATGTCTTGCATTTGTCATACGTACCAACAGGATCTCGCACTTGAGGCTGTGCCAACCAATGTTACCGGGAACGTGGCCTGCAATGAAACATCGGCGTCGCACCTCGTAAGTCCGGACACGCGACTTTCTCGTGCGATCAAGACTCACCATTGGCAGCCGCTAATTGCTGCAGGACCTTTGCTCGTGGATGTTCAAGAGGCAGACCTCTGACAACTTCATTCCTGGGCTCCACAATTTCTGGCTCAACGTCGCTTGGCGCCACCCCGCGAGCCACTGCTGGTCCAGCCTGGTCAAAAAGTGAAGGGGTAGTCTCATCTATCTGGTCCGCAGCTACAGTCATCGATGCCTGGGTCGCAGATGCGACTGCGGCAGAAGTCAAGCTCCGTTGCGCATCCCCGCCTCTTGAGTTGGCTCTTCGCATCGAGCCGGACCGACTGACGAGCGGCGTCCGCCTTGCTCTCCTAGCAGGAGAGGGCGAAAGGGTAGATTTGCGCGTTAAGGTGGGTGGCGTCTCAGGTTCCCAGGAAGTGGCTTTTGCTCTACTTTTCCATCTCAAAGGCCTGCCTCTGGTCTCTTGCTCCCCTTGTGCTTGCTGAGCCGCCGCACCGCCTTCCTCATCTGGCTCCGCAAGCGCCTCGTCTACGGCGTCCGGATTGGGCCCAGCAGTGCAATCTACCAGCCAGCCTCTACGTCCCGCGCCAAAGATGGCTTGCCATCCATGATACTTGCCAAAGCCTCGCAAAGGTCCCAAAGCGAGTTCCACCACACGAAGGTTGGTCTTTGCCCTCTGAACAGGCGCTGCGTTGGGCTGGGCACCGAGCAGCTGTGGTAGACCCATTTGAGCCAACTGCTGGCTGAGCGTCAGTGGCGGAGGGACAGCGCAAGGACGCAACAAGCTCTCCACAATGTCCATCGGTGACAAAGCGCCCGAGCCTAGAGCACTGCTGGTTTCGGGAATGCTGAGCACTTGCACATTGGGAGCCTTGGCGATCAAGAATTCCGAAATTTTCGACAGACTGAGCCGAGGTAGTGATCCGAGACCCAGGTCGAGTAAGCAAGGCTGGACGTGTATCTCTCCAAGGACTTCTGCCACCGGACAGCTTGCCAAATCGAGATATCGCATGGCACCATGTAGCATGCAGGGAGCTTCCGTCAAGATGGCCTTCATATCGAGCGCATCGATCGGCGTGGGTTGCAAAAGCGTGCCTGCCAAGGAGAGTTCCGTCAAGCTGTGACAGACCGGGCTGTCGACGAGCAGCCACCTTATTGACTCGCTCGACATATGCGGACATTTAGCCAAACTGAGACTATGCAGGTGCAGACCAGGCTGAGCTCCGAGCAAAAATAGCGTCTGTGGACCTATCTTGGTGCCTGTCAAGTCCAGATGGATTAGGCGAGGAAAGGAAAGAATGAAGGGCTGCAGCAAGCTCTCCGGAAAAGTGACGTAGCTGAGGCTCAGACGCCTAAGAGACGGGAAGCGCGTGGCTCGCGCTGGATGTGTGGAGGGAGCCTCGTCATCGTCGGCACGACTGTACCTCGAAAGGCTTCGCTGCACTTGTTGACTAGATCGAGCTGTTCGTGCCGAGCTCGATCTAGCAGAAGACCACTCCGAGGTGCCCGTGCGATGCGTGCTTCGACTTCGCCCTCTGCGGTCTTCTTCTTCGTCTACCTGGGACTCGTCATCGTCAGCGGTGGATGTTTCGGACTCTTCGAACAATGTCGATGTGGATCTTCCACTAGACTTGTTGAGATGACGGTCCACAAATGTCTGCAGGCCGGCTTTGAAAGCATTGCTTATACAGCCTGACAGATCCATAGCCTGCAGTCTTCGGCGCTCGCTTCCTTCCCTCCGTGCTCTTTCCATAGAAATGCCTCGTATCCGCGATGGTGGGGTAAGCTTGCCGTCCCTAAAGAGCTGCAGGCGTCACAAGGGAGAAGCTCAGAGACGTCAAATCGATCTGTTTGCTCTCTTCTGTGGTCGACGTGTGACACTGACCAAAGCTTCGAGGACAGCAACGTCGATAGCGCTGTCCATGCTCTCACAAAATCCTACGCTGACTAATGCGTCTGCTGCCGTGATGAGAGCGAGCAATCGAGCTGGCGTGATGAAGCGCGTCTCGCCCTGACCCAAAGATCTTCGCATGCCTTGCGTCTGACGTCAATCCAAAGGGGTTTCTTTTTGAGCGGTACTCTCACTTTATTGCTGTCACCTCTTCAGACTCACCGTAAAGGTGGAGAAGTCGAGTACCCTGGGATAGTGATTGGCACCGCGAGGCGCGCGACTAAGAGACAAGGAGAAGAGACCCGCAGATTGCTCTACAGAAAGCATCCAACCAAACGAATCGCAACGCGATCAGGTCCGTTTCTGTCTGCATCCAGGCCGCGACACGGACTCCACTCACCTATCCACACCAGCTGCATTTCAGCTCCGCTCCTCTCATCTGCTGCACTCTCAGTGTCAGTAGCACCACTCGGTGCGCTTCCTGATTGCTGAGATCTGAGTAATCGATCTCTGCGATCTTTCTGAATGACCAGCTTGCTACCCGTGACCCTCGCAAAGCCAGCCGCAGCAACCATGGCGCTGAAGCCCAATTGCTTCTTTGGTCCTGTGCGCACATCCGATCTTTCCAAACCAGCGCTGCCTCCAGCCCCGGCATCGGAAAGTGCCTGATGACTTCTACTCCTGTTCCGAGGGGGACTTTGTGTGGAGCTCCTTCCTTGCTCCCTCAAAGGGCTCCGACTTGGTGTTTGATGCGCGCGATGGGCAGGTATGCCTGGGTCTTCTTCCCCCCTCGAGCTCTCCTCCTCATCCGAACTGCTGCTCGCAGCATCGCTAGTGAAGAAAGCCCCTTCATCCGTGCTATCGTCCGACGTTGTTGGTTTCCGAAGTCTTTCATGTTCCTCGTACGCCTCTGCTAGGTGCGCAGCTCCCAGAGTCCTCAGCAACAACAAGAAGCTAAAAGGCAATGTGATTTGCAACCTTCGAAAAAGCAGGGGTCTAGCAGCGGCATACAATGCCTTGTTGGTCCTCGAAATGCTGAGCAGATCCGATGTGGCTTGCCTGCTCGTACGCGAGATGAGTCGTCCATCTTCGTAAGCTGATGGCAGACCATGAGGATCCAAGCAACGGAATACGGCGCGAGGGATGGAGTCGAGGTAGATCAAAGAGACGATGTGATGCAGAAGCTCGGGCGGCAGGTGCGAAAAGGTTGTCGGCTTGCTGCTAGGTGGGCGGAGATGTGCTTCGTGTGTGGGCGGGTGAGATTGACTTGTCAAGGTGGTCATCGCGGCCATCGACGCTCCTATCACAGCTTCCGTGGCTGAACGGAAGGTCAGCTTCCGCGTGGCTGAAGCGCGCGTTGCTCTGAAACACTCGACAGAACCTCGACTTCCCAGCCGCTATACAGCAAAGAAGTGGCGAGTGGTGCGATCGCGATTGTGGCGTGATGCTGAGTCGAACAAGTGCAAGGAACGTCTTGCGGTCTAGGCGAGCGCGGTATGAAGATCACAAGGCAAGTCTTGCGTCAGAAACAAAACCCCAAACAATGTGAATGGTCTGCACCAATTAAGTTGTAGCAGCAAAGCTAGCCGGTCCCTTGATCGTCCGCATGGCCCCCATGGCAAGGTCCGCGGAGGCCCTCGCTAACAATCGTGAATCAGCAGCAGCAGCAGCATCGTCAACAGCATGCATATGCTGCGTTGCTGCGTGCATGCTGCAGAAGCGGCCACACATCCATCATCCGGCCGGCCGGTGTGGCGAAATAAGCTCCGCCGATCAAATGGCCGCCCGCCGACAACCCGGCGGGGCCAAGCCAACAAAGAGCGGACCTCGCCGTGCGCGTCGCGTCGCGTTCGTGATGCTCCTTGATCAGGGTCTTCACGCCATGTCATCATCTGCAAGATCATCTGGATAAGAGAATACAGTCAGTCAGCAGTCGTAAGTGTCATGCGGTACCTAGCCCCACAGATTCGCGGGCACTATTGGAATCAATTCATCAGTCTTGACCCATCTGAATATTCTCAAGCAGAGTGGAGTATCATCGGCATGGTAGGCGCCAACACCTCAAGCAACGCTACGAGGACCTCAAGCCAGTTTAGTTGATGCTGCTACATTGTACAAGCCGCGTAGAGCGTGTTATCGTTCGTAACAAGAATCGCAGGTCATAAATGTCTGGCAGAAAATAGTATCAAGTGGCAGAGCTCAAGGTCGAAGTATCTCTATGCTGAGCCTGACTAGTCGGGTGCAAATGTCCGAGAGCATGACTAGCGCCCAAGCTGTCCGTCGAACAGTTGCTCAAAGATCTGATGAGGCTATCCCCATTGATGATGCCCGTCGTAGCGATCAAGAATCTCCTGTTCTTCGTCTGACTCGACATGTATCTCAACGCAGCAACTTCCGTGTACGTCACTCCTCCCAAAAAGAGCACAATCGTCGTCGTCGTCGTCGTCGTCGACACAGAGCCGTGTTGCGTCGAGCCACTGGCGCTGATGGTACTCGCATTCGACGTGCTTCGCAATTGCACCTCATCCACCGTCGCGCCTGGCAACGCCGATACCGCATCTTCGAATCCTTGCCAGCCAACGATTGGGTGCGCATCAGGTACTCGTCGAGCGTTGTTGGGCCTCACTGACGCGCGAGCGGCACCAGCCAGCTCATTGTCCACGTCTCGGGGCGCCAAAGGCTCCGAAGCTTGAGCGACAGACCTCTCGCTAGCACTCTCAGGGGCCAGTATCGCTTCCTTCTGCGCGACTGCTTGCACAAGTCGACAGCTCAGCGGAGCATAGCCAGAGTATACGTACGCGATATCCTTCGGGTCCCGCTCGTCCACTTCGTCGTTGATGAGTCTGAGCTGACCGCGAACGGCGGCTATGCCTTTGACTGGGGCCCCTCGACGAGGAACAGCAGGCGCAGGGACTAGAAGCCCCACTTTTTGCAGAGCTAGCAGCAGCGGCAAATGTGTGTATCCATACGTTTGTAGGACGTCGCGGATGAGCGCGTCTAGGTTCTTCTGCTTGATACCGCCACCGACAACAGAGAGGAGGCACAGCAGACGCAAGATCATCAGTAGAGGAGCCTCGCTGGCAATGAGCGCCTCGATCGCCGAGAGCTGAGCGGGTAAATCCACACCAGCGACGATGTTTTGTTGTATCTCCAACGAAGCGTTGAAATGCTCAGAGCCAGTGATGCCCATGATGCGCTCCGTCAAGCTGGTATGTACTCGCAGCCCCAAATGACTAGCTTGCAAACCTCCCAGTTTGCCCACAAAAGCTCTCATCTGTGCCACAGTCTGCGCAGCGTGTCTGCCCTCGTAGTCTGCCGACAGTCTCTGCGCCGCTCGATGAAGTACCTCTCCCACCACTGCAAAGTTGCAGTCTCGAATAGAGGAAAAGAGCGAGTCCGAGGCGTTGTCTAGCCGGTGCTTCTTCTTCTTGGTCGGAGAGGTCATTGTCACTCGCAAGGGCGTGCCACTACCGGATGCTGCACCGCTCGCGCTCGGGCTTGCAGGTCCATTCGCAGAGAGCAGAGAAGAGTCGACCTCGATGTGTGCTGTGGTGGACGGATGCACAGCAATCAGACTGAAAGGAACGTGTCGTGCTGACACTATGACGATTGAAAGATTTGAGATCTTCGTCATGAGCCAACTCACCACTGTTGATGCCGAGCACTTCGTCCAGAAGACCTTCGTAGGTGAGCTGGGTGCACAGCGGAGTGACGAGATCTACGCTCCTATCCAGCACGACGAGGCAGTCCACCAACTGACTTGAAGTAGTGAGGGCAGCATTCTTCGGATCTGCAGCTAGCGCTTCTTTTCTTTGGCGAGTCAAGAGCGTAGCAAAGCGCTTTCAGAAGAATGTACCGCGTCAGTTTCGCCGCTTCGACTCGCTGATGAGAGCGTTTGGGATGTTTATGAGCAGCATCATCGCTCAGCTCACCTGTGCAGCGTCACCCTTTCCAACGATGCGCGGAAACGTCCCCCAAAGGTGTTGCAGGGTCATGCAAGCCAAAGCAGTCTCGTGCAAAGTGCCCAAGTCTCCATCTTTACTGCATCTGCTCCACGCTCTGGGATCTTCCAAGCTCAGTAGGTCTTCCTCCAACGGCACAAATTCGAGAGGAAGGTCGTAGAGATGCAAGTCGGCCAAGAGGGATGAAGATGAGGATGCATCGTCGACATTTTCCGCGCTCGATGAAGGAGATAGTTCGCTGAGAAGATGTAGTGACAGCTCCGTTCGACGAGGCGAAAGCAAGAGGTGATACGTGTGCGCCAAGGACTTGGGCGAGCCTCTACGATCCGCTAGCACATGACCTGCAAGCACCGAGGAGCGGAGGCATGAGCTGGCGTCTCTCGTACAGTAAGATTGATGAAACATCACAAGAAGTGTACGTTGGCAGCTCATGCTCGATTGCCAGGTGAGGTACAGCCTGAGCAGTGAATACTTGGCCGCAAACGCAGATCTCGACTGAGCAGCAGCGCAAAGCAAAAAGATGCCCAGAGAGAGCATCTGCTGCGATGCAAGCACGCATGCTCTGGAGATTGCTCGATGTACGGACGCTGACTGACCCGGCAGTCCCTTGTGAGATAGAGGGCACTGGGCTAATTTGGTCCGAGCGTGCTGAAAGGAGCAGTGCACCCAGATGACATCGACACAGCTGCAGCTGTGCCGCTCGCTCGCTCGATTGTGGTGGCGGCGCGTGCTGCAAGTCAGGTGCTCCACTTACCAGCAATGACTCTTAACCATCTGCTCTCTGGCCTGCATATATACACGACGGCTCTAGTAGGTGCATTGACCGGTACAATGTTGACCTTCCTCTTGCCCTTATCCGTTCGATTTCGTTCCTCTCCACCAGCCTGCGATGCGTTCGCATCAGTTCTCGAAAGTTTGTTCCCTGTATGCTCTTCCAGCCAAAACATGCGTTCCACACCATGTTGCCTGAGTGCAGATACATCCGCTACCAGTCCCAGGGGCCCAGCAAGAGCTGGATCTAAGAGCAACGTCTTGCCTTCTGGAATCGCGTCGAGGGCGGACAAGAGCGAGCGAAGCGCTAGCAGGCGGAGCGGGTGAACATCTAGCGCCCCAGGTAGTGCTGCTTGCGAAGCGGAAGCGGAAGCGGAAGCGCCGCTCCCACTTGCTTTAGTGCTCGCCATGTCGCTGAGGGGTGAGATCTCGCAGGCACTTCTTCGCGATCGGGGTGATTGGCGTTTGACTGTGCAGATCCGCGATGGGAGTGTAGATTCTCGGTACGTGGAAGGGCAAGTCGGCTGCACTTGTGCTTCTTTCAAGCACAATGGAAAGGCGAAGCGGTGAGTGGACGCAAGTCAAAGCTGGTCTTGAGTCTCACATGCTGTCTGTGCGGTGGAATTTTGAGCAGGCTAGCAGCTTGTGTGGGCGGGCGCCTTTCTTTCTTTCGCTGGCCGTGCGTCGCGGATGGAATATGGTCACGTGTCAGGCATCGTTCGTCGCGCCGTGCATGCTCATCAGCATGCAGTCATGCAGTCCTGTCTGCGTACAGGGCAGCGCGCACGCGTTGAACGAGCTCGAAGGCGCGCGGCGGGATGTCAAAAGGTGGTTTCGCCGTTTGTCATGTCAAAAGCGACTATACAGTCAAGTCGTGAGTCGTGAGTAAGCTACTTACACAGCTAAATAGGGTTCAGAAGAAGTCACGATCGAGTGCGCGTGGGCGATCGAGCAAGCCACGCCCGATCTCTTATTCTTGTCTGCGCAGGTGAGGACTGAGCGCGCTGCATCCATCGCATCGTCGTCAGCATGCATCCACGCACTCGTAATCTGCACGCTCAGCAATCTCAACCACCATACCCGTCGTCTAGCAGGCTCCTTTGTCATCTGAAAGAATGAGTAGCCAGCAACGTGGGCCAGGACACAATGGGTCGGGCCAAGCTCTGCAGCAGGTCTCGCTCATCATCGATTCCGATCCCGGAGTGGGTGAGTTGTTGGGGGGTTTGGAGCGCAGCTGGGTCACGTCCATGTGTTGCTTTGGCTGAGCAACTCCATTTGTTGCATTCGCTTGCAGATGACGGTGAGGCAATGCGTGGGGTGGGGGGTAAAGCTGAAGACATTCACATCCAAATTGACGTTCTTTCGCTTTAACCTCTGCGCCTGCAGTGCTCGCCTTTATCCTAGCGCTGGCCCTGCCGCACGTTACTGTGAAAGCCATCACACTGACATTCGGCAACACTGAGCTCGCGCACGCCTTTTCCAACGTCGCGCGCACCTTCAACGTTCTACACGCTCATCTCTCCTCCTCCTCATCCGCTCCTCCATCCCTCAAGGCTCGTTTCTCGCACTCCTTGGGTGAGGGCGCGCCGAGCATCGAGCTGGCCAAAGGAGCAAGCGGCCCCATCGGCGGCAAAAAATTCACCGCTGGTTATTTCCACGGCAAGGATGGTCTATCGGGAGTGTCGAAAGATGAGAGGTTTCCTGCGCAGCCTGTTCCTGCCCCTCTGAAAGCCACGGATGAACCAGCGCACAAGGTCATACTGAAACACCTCAGGGACAATCCCCCTGGCGCCATCCGCATTGCGGCGATTGGTCCAGTCAGCAACCTCGCCTTGGCTTTTCAGGAAGATCCGGTCACTTTTGCTAGAGTGGCCGGCATCTCCGTCATGGGTGGCGCGCTCGACGTGCCTGGCAATACGTGCGCAATGGAACCCCGTGCAAGCCCGGCAGCCGGAGCAGCGAGAATGTATGCTGACCATCGATTCGCGCAACATTTCCAGGTCTCCGCTCAGCGAGTTCAATTTCTATGCCGATCCTTGGGCCGCTCGAGCTCTGATCGTGGACGCGCCTAAACATCCTGTGCTAGCCAATGGCGACAATGCGCTGGGGTGGCGCCGGTTGCCCATCGATCTGCTTTCCCTCGACATTACGAGCAAACACTTGGTACCCTTTGGTCGCCTTTGCAGCGGTCAAGGTCCTCTCGGTGACTTGTGAGTTGATGCGACTCATTTGCGATCTCACAACGATGAGGTGGAAGCGCTCGCTTGACTCACTCGACCTTCTTCGCCCCCAATCTCTCTTCGTCTTTCTCGCGTGTGATGCGATTTGTTTCACTCCCCCCCCCCTTCCCCCTCTTGCGCCCTATTTTTGCGGGCCCAACGCCTAGCATGGCAACGATACTGAAGCGACCCAGACAGGTGACCAACTCATTTGCACCTGCCGGAAGAGACTTTGATGCGAGCATCGACGACATGTTCGTAGCGCACGATCCCATCGCCGTCGCACATGCCTGTTTCTGTTCCTCTTCAGGATCGGCGTCTCGCAACGCCTCTTCCAAAGAGACGCGCAGCTATGCCTCTCAAAATCGACCAGAGTTCGATGGGGAGTGGAGCATGCGGGTCAGAAGGTTCGGTATCGAGTGCGAGGGGGAGTTGACTAGAGGTTGCTGTGTGGTGGATAGAAGAGCTAGCGTGAATTCTGCTCAGGGAAATGTGGATCCAAAAGATGCCAGTCTGGGCAAAGATGAGGAATTGGATGAGGATCAAAAGAGACCGGATACGAGGGAAGGAGATGTTCATGTGGTCCAAGTGAGTCGTGGCATCGCATTGGGACAAGCCAAAACAACACTGCTCGGCTCGTATCGGAATTCCTCTGACCCTATCTACGAACCCTCGCCTCATCTTCAGCAATCTCCCGGATGCGCATGGTTCTCCAACATATTTTGCGACGCTTTGGGTGTCTAGTTATTGGTTGCGCGGCAATGTCTTTACGAAGTGGGTCGCCAATTCAGCCCACTGCAGCCGCAGCCAGCTGCGTATGGACCTTTTAAAAACGGAATCGCAATGCACGGAATCTAAGCTTTGCCATGCAATGAGAAGCGCTATGCTGAGAGTTTCGTACCGGTACATGATGAGTAGCTCAGGTAAAATGAGTCGTGGGTGGAAAGTCAGTGCCGCAGGCGAGACCGACGAAGTAGAGAGCTGTGACACATGGACGCCTGAATGGTGGCTGCTACCGGGCGACGTCTATGCACGCACGCGATGCTTGGGGGCATTCCTGGTTGAAGCACCTGATACCTCACCTCACGAGGCGTCTGTAATGTCTCTCCGTGGCCACGTCTCATTCCTTCGCAACGACCGTGCGCGTTTGCCCGCTGATGCTTGTGTGGGATGGGCATTTCATGTAGCACGAATTCACTCGATGGGTACCTCTGGCATTGTCGAGGCATCCTATGCGCGCGGGGTCAAGATGAATGATGTGATGTGTCAATCAGGCATGGGCTATGAGGGACGTCCACGTAATGTGCTTGCTGTTCTTTCGCTTTGCAGCTTCAGCCTCGCGGGACGCTCGAATTGTTGCGCTGTGCGCTGCGCTGCGCTGCTCTACCCTTTTGCGCTCCCTCCGTCAAGCAAGACTTCTCGAAATCTCCACTCACCTGTTTGCTCTCTCCGTCTTTAGGCGGCACGAAAGCCAGCTTCTCTCCAACCTTGTGCACCTGATCCTTTAGCTTCTGTGCCAATCCTTCCTTCTCCTCTGTTCCATTCGCATTGCTGTTCGAACCATTCCCTTGCCTCGTATCGGACTGCGAGGCAGCAAGGCAAGCTGGACCCGCCTCCTCGGCTTGATGAGCTTCGACCTGAGCTACCCTCTTCTCTTCCCAGCCCGGAGGCCCTTCAGGGGTTGCGCCGGGTCGAACGATGGAAGCGGGTGTTGTCAAAGTCTGACTGGTCGAACTGTCCTTTTTGATGTGAGACATGGCGCTAGCTATCGATTGGATGATGCAGAGACGTGCTTTGCGGGTGCTGATGATGTATGCAAGCGATGTGCTGCTTCGCTGTGGGGAGAAGATCGATGAACGAGGCGTGCGTGCGTGCGTGCGTGCGAGAAGGGAAGGATGATGGTTGCGAGGCGGATGTTGGAATAGATGGTCGCAGAATAAATGATGTAGGATCCACACTCACGACTTGTTCCCATTTCAAGATGATTGATGAGAAGGGGTGGGGAAGGGTTAGGGTTGGGGTTGGGGTCAGCAGGCAGCTGCTTGCTGCGTGTCCAAAGGTTAGGCCTGTCCAACTCACCCACACTGTCGACGTTTGATGAGGGGAGCGGCGACTGCATATGCGCGCATTCGACTCAGCCTCGTGACACCCGACTGTAGTGACTTGTGAGTGTGCTCTGCTGCTCGAGTCGTGAGGCGAGTGGAGGCGGGGCGGGGGGGG